ATTGAACTAAGGATTAGCTCATTATGAGCTAACATTTTAGTTCTTTTATTATCTTACTTTTTATTAAATGTTATTTAGTTTTTAATGTTTCTTTTTATGGTGTCTCTTGGGTTTCCAAAAAGGGCTTTTGGAATCCCAAGATAGTTGTTTAGTCTTCCCATGTGTGGCTCCTTGAATTCCACCATGGTTTTATTGCTCTCACCCCATGGGATTCCGGCCGGCCGCTGGTTTTCCTGTGCCTGAGCTCTTTCCCGAGGCCATGGCCCCTTGGTTCCGTGCAGCTTCCTCGTCTCCCGTGGTTGCCTCTTCGGTTCCTTGACTTGGGTGTGTTTTTTCATGCAAAGCATTAGTGTTTTAATTAATTGTGTTGTTTAAAATTCCTATGGGAATTTAATGTTAGTGTCTTTTGGTCTTCCCTTTCATACCTATATATATGGGGGGTATTGTAATGTTTGAAATAGTAAGTGAATGATATGTGATTTTTGGAAAAAAATCTGTTAACCTGCGGGTTGCTTGGAAATCCTGCGGGCTCTTTCCACCCTTCTTTCTCATCCCCTCCGGAAATCTTGTGGGCTCTTTCCAACCTTTCTTCTCGGGCTTCTAATCTATTTCGTCTCTCCGCAAGTGCCACTCCACCTGTATCCTTCTTCTCTAAGTGAAGCAACTTTAGGGTGTTGTCATTTTGTTTGCAAGAGTCGTTTGTATTGTTGTAAGTTTTCTTTTGTTTAGTTTAATTTGAAATGTAAGAGTTTGTTCGTCTCTTTCCTCGTCTTTAGTCATTTTCGTCCGTAGAAGTCCGTCGTGTCCTTTGTGATCAGGAGATATAGGCTCCCTATATCTTTTGCCCGCATCAATTTATTAGCTATTATTTAGACATGATACACTCCTTAAATTTTATCTTATATTATATTTATGTATTTTTGTGCATCCCGCTGTCATTGTTATTCCCTCGCAAAGGTTTAAGTTTATAACCTAAAAAATCTTATTCTCGATGCTTGCGACGAGCCGGTAAACCCCTTACACGCTCACGTAGCGCAGTAGGGAGGGAAACTTGTGCGATGCTCGCAACGAGGCGGGTAATCCCTGGAGTGCTGGAGTGCTCATGTAGCATGAGGGGGATAAAAAATAAGTACCTCCAAACGCTTATGTAGTGCAGATGGGGGAAAGAAAATTGTGCTCTTTTAAACACATACCTGAAGACCCTTAAACGCTCATGTAGCAAGCGGGGATAAAAAAAATACAACCGTGGTGTCATTTGACACCTACTTGAAGCTCTGAAGTAGCAACGAGGGGAAGGTTGCCTCTTTGTTTTTCCCCTAAATGGGAGAGTCGTTGGGAGGCTGCCGAAATTTCCACTGAAACAGGGGACTTGGACAAATTTTGGATAGCTTGAACTTGTAAACTTTTGGATAGCATGGAACACATTTTGACACTCGAATGACTAATAAAGGCTTGAACCTAAGTAACAAAAAAAAAAGACTTGAACCTAAGTAAAATAAAATTGAAATGAGCTTGAACTTAAATCCATTTGACTCATGTGAACCATGATTTGAATGATTTGGACTATAGAGGATCTGATTCACACTTGAATTAACCACAGGGGACTTCATTTGGACTTGAACTTGGACAAATATTGAACAAATGATTTTAAATTCTTACTTGGACTTAAAGTCTAATATTTAAAATAAAGATCATAAGCTTATGAATGACAAAATCAATGATAGAGGAGTAATAATCATCTCAATTTGAATGAAGAAATTGACAAATATGCAAGCAGAATTTGTGAAAAAAAAAAAGAGAAGAAAATATGATTTGGCCATACAATCATGGTATGAGGACTTTTGGAGCATTAACTTGCAATGATAGACATGAACTCATCCATAAGCAACAATCAATAAGGAATGTGGAGATGCTCGTACAAGTGATGATGCAAAATTACAAAGGATTTATAATGAGCAAATCTCCAAACATGAATTTGCAAATATGGGTAACTCACAAGTAACAATACAAAGGTCTTCCGACAAATATCAAATAGCTGCTAACAAACAAGCATTCTTACAAAAATTGAGCTTGGATATTGGCATGAGATTTTGACAACAACACTTGTGAGAGTCATGTTAGCTGGAACGAATAAATTGATGATGATGACATCAAGCTCATTGAAAATTATCATCGAAGATAAAGAATTTGCGAGTGAAGTGTTAATTGCAAGCAACACTAGAAGAGGGATAGTGGGTTCCAAACACTTGCAAGTGATGGTGGAAGAGTTGCAATGAATACAAGCATAGGGGTGCAAGAAAATTCATGATGTGCACAATACTTCATTCACAAACACAATGTCATACAATCATTTGCGACAAATTTGAAGATTCATTTGTTCAGGGAAGAAATTTGTAATAGCAATGACGAGCGATATGCAAGGAGTGTATCATGTCTACAAACAAGATAAGAAGATTGCAAAAGAGGTGGTATCTTTGCTATCGATATGAATACGATCATTCCTAAGGATATCCACAGGCAAGGAGAAATACTCGGCAAGAAAGCATGAATCCCTATGAATCACCGTGGGAGTTTTATCATGCATATGACATCTCATCTACAAGCGGAAGGAGAAAATTTATAGAATGAATGATTAAGCTTATAGTGAATAATGCCCCAAGTATACTTGCTATTTGTAATGGTTGGCAACAATCAATAAATAAGCGTGGCCTAATTACAAATAGAGCAAAAAGAACCTTGGCAATGATTTGATTTGTTAGGATATGTCCAAGAAGTTATTCGCAAATATACGCCATGTTACATACAATAAGTATTATGGCTTCTACCTAATCAATGGCAATCAACTCATGGATAAGTGCATTAATTGCCTACGCATGTTGAAAACTAATACACAATGGATATGATATATAACTGATGAATGTGTGGGGAGAGCATCAACAATGAATACAACTCATTCAGCAGTTAACCTCAGTTCATAAATGAGCACATTTATTTACCTACAAATAGTTTGGGTTCATTTGTGACGAATACAACATACACCCGATGAATTCATCAAGAGTTAGAGATGACAAAATACAAGGGTATCTCTATTGTCAATAATGATCATCCTTTAAGAAAAGACACAATCAATCCCCTATAAGTAGAAGGATTCAACGACGCTGTCAAAAACCCATTCCACATCCAACATGCCAGTTGAAATTAGAAGGATTTGACATGCAGCAAAGAATGATGATGATGCACATCTAAGTGTATTACATCAGCAAGAGCTTCTTGATTAAAGATGGTTGTGCATCTAACACACCATCCACGGGCAAATACAGAAGGACCATGCTGAATACAAGCTCTTACAAGCTATTGTAGGAGACCCGTAGTACATCTATCAAATATCCAAAAATACCCCCGCACATGTAATATAGTGTGTATACACATAGGTACACTAAAAGGGCGTATGCAATCAGACACCTGCATGGGCCCCGATGAGCTTGTTATTAGTATACACATGATGTCTAGGGATGATGTGTGGGTCAATAAGTGAATTTAAGTTCGAACCCGATCCTTCTATGTGGATTGATAGGAGTCGACAGAGTTCGAACCATCAAACAAATATACGGTTACGGCGACCGGTATAGTTGTCTTAATACATTCATATTAGGCTTTCAAGGCCTATAACAATGAGAATTCATTAATAAAGGCACCTGATCCTCTGTCGGTAAACTGATAGAGTCGACAAGGACCAGTCAATGAAATGGAAGTGACCCCAGACACCCCGATGATGGCTGTGTTGAACAAAAAATCTCAACCGGAGGGGTCCATTTCAAATAATTCAAAATGCTACTCAAAGTATCCAAAATCTAAAAATCTCCAAAATTCCAAACTTAAAAAAATCATCAAAATCAAGATATTTAAAATGAAACTATCCATCCAATCACTTAAATCACAAACTCTATTCACCCTCCACAGCAGTTTGCCAGGGTGCACAAATTTAAAATATACTTCAGCTCACATAGAGCTAATGCTAGTCGAAAATATCACTGGATTCAATCTCAAATAATCTCCTGTCAGTAAGGACGTAGTACGTGTCCTCTAATCGGCAGTTTTGTCGCCAAATGGCACCACAGGATAAATGATTATGACCTGGGGCTCTCTAAACTGAGTGGTTTTGCCACCAAATGGCATTACAAAATATCGGTTATGGTCAGAGTCAATACGTTCCTTAGTGGCATCAAATACTTGAGATATGAATCAATAGGATATGATTGATAGGGTACAAAGACCTCTGTTAACTAAGGTGGATTCAAATTTGCCTCCTTAGACAAACATTTACCTCAGGTTTACAAGGTCCCCTTGGACGAAGCAACCCATGGCTGCCGACAAGGATCCTTCTGTCAGGTTGGGTCGACTACCTCCTCTGACTAAGTAGACTAGGGACCACGATGGCCCGGGACGACAGAACCATAAGATCTTGATCGGGTCTATCATCCATTCACTTTAAGTGCAAGATGGTGAAATTTCTATTTTAAATATCAAATTCCCAAATCCAAACCCTTCAAATTTCTAAATTTTCATGCCCATGCTGCTACTATACGCCTGATAACACATATCTCTACTTATTTGATTGACGACTAGCCTTAATCGAAAGTTCTCTCTCATTATCGGGATGGGTAGTTAGGGGATTGCGCCTATTGGAAACCAGAACTCAAATCTTAAAGTCCTCGCAAAATGAGGACGAAATATCTGGGTAGTGTCTTATCTACAATCCCATCTGCCTTTCCAAAATTTACCCGGAACTTACTCCGTTAAAACTCCCCCCGAATAAAAAGCAATAGCGGGCAGAGGCCGGGTCTAATTTTTAGATCCCACAATTTATAACATTGGTTGTAGGCTTTTTCTAAGAGATATCACAAATAAAATATATATATATCTTCTTTACATTTGTTTTTTTTATAAGGGAAAGCATTGCTCATTGCTCAAAACCATAAAGTTCTTTTATCATCCTGATTTATTCATCTGCGAATATGGAATCCAGGTTTATTGATGTTCTTCAAGATCAAAAGCTACATCTATGGAAAAGCGAGTCAGCTGAATATTCCTTTACATCACTTGTGTCAGCTATTGGTTCTTGTGGATCTGCAAAGTTTCGTGGAGAAGGAGCTATTGCTTCACCATCCTGGATTGCTGCTGGCTTAAGCACAGGCTATTGTAGGTTGCTTGATTCAAGGAGTGGATGTGTCATTGCTTTCTGGCGAGCACATGATGGTTATATCACTAAGGTACAGTTGGCATATTATATGAAACCTAAATTTGAAAGAAGTAAATTATGTGCTTCTCTAATCACAATCCTCTTTGTTTCTTTTGATATTTGCAGTTGGCTGCTTTAGAGGACCATGTACTTTTGTCTAGCTCCCTCGATAAAACTCTGCGTGTTTGGGACCTTAGAAGGTGCAATTTTTTCATCCTATTATGTTTCTTTTATTTTAAGTTTTTGCATTAGTTATTTTTTGCTGTTTTAGTATTTTTAGGATTGTTAATGATCTATCTCAAGTTGGTTCTTCTCTCTGCTCCTGATAAATGGGAAGCTCACTTGATACTATTTCAATCCAAGCCAAGCTTGGTTGGTAAACAGCTTTGATTCGTGCTAAGCCTAGTTTGTTGACATCAATTTTATATCGTTATCTCTCTCTCTCTCTCTCTCTATTTTTTTTTCTATTTGCAGTGATCATTCAATTCCAAGTTTATTTTTGTACATATGTGATTTAGTCTTTAATTTAAGATCATAACTTTGATTATGATCTGTGACATGAATGTTATTTCAGGGTCAAATTTCATCATTTATCTATTTATTTAACTTTTCATAAAGCATCCAAAAACTTAAGGATGATTTGATGACATACTTGGAAGTGTAATTTTACTTATGTATTTCACTCATCAACTCCATCAAATTCACTTTTAATTCCAAGCCATTTGAAAGTCTCTATGCTTTGAAATTCTAATTATCTTGTAATACAATTGGTGCCATCCACTTAGAAAATTTTGTAGATCAAATCGATGAACAAATGATTTTAAAGTTCTTCAAATTGATTATGCTCTTTGTTTTAATGATGCTAAGGAGAATGAATGATTTTGATCATATATTTGAAGGCCATGACTAGCTTTTGTAAACTCTGATTATTCTAATCCACTCATCCTGAACTCTTCTCATCGCTAGATAGTTATTACTGCAGAGTTTCAAAATCTTATTGAATGTTTTGCACTGAATGCATAGCTAAATGCTTATTTTAGCTTGCGGTTGGAATTTTTGTTTATTCTTATTATTTCCTTTCTTCAGTTTGGGCTTGAGCTCAGATTAATGAGTAGACATCCGACTGCTCGCCTAGGCTAGCATTCTTATTTCCTTTCCCCAACAATTCCTTGCCACTAGGCGTCCATATTGTTGAAGTAGAACATTCTTAGGCATTAGAGTTTGCAGCAGAAGGGTGAAACTATTCTGCTTAGTTACCTTTATTGAGATCCTAGTTCTTATATACAGATGTTTCTTCTTGGCCCCTTAATGACCGTCGAGTTGGAATCCATTTGTTGTGCTATCATAGTATAATTTTTATCACAGCTCATTTCTGATGTTTTTTGAAACTAGCTAGGATTGCTTTATAGGATAAATTAGTTTTACCTTCTCTGATTACATCATCATTTAGCTTTATTCTGACAATTTGGTGCTCTATGATTATTGATTACTGATACATTTTATTTGGGCAAATTGTCATTCAATTCCATCTCTTTCTTTTCCCCACTTGCTCATTCTTGCACTCTTGTATTCATGTGCGTGCCACTAGTCCCGTTGATAATGGTCTTGAAAAAAAAGAAATTTTCCTAAGCTACATAACTCCCATCTTGCGAATTTTTATTTGGGCAAAAAAAGTAATCTTGGATGTAGGTAGGACTGTCAATATTTGACACAATCCAAAAACCCGACCTGAACTCGATCCGAAATTTTTGGGTTCAAGTTGACCTGAACCCGAATTAGGCCTGGTTCAGGTTAGGGATTTCAACCCATTTGTAAAATCGGGTTGGGTTCAGGTTGACCCAGAAACCCGAAATCAACCCAATTTGACCCGGACCGACCGTTTCCCACCCTGTCTGTCGTCGTTGAGTCGCGTCCGTCAGTCGCAATGTACCATCTCCGAATCATCTCGATTCGAACTCGTCAGTATCTCTGCCCTCGAACGCCCGCTGCGGCCGGTCCTCCCGACACTGCCCTCGCACGCTGTTGTGGCTTGTCATTCCGTGACCGTCCAGAGTTCCGTGTTTGTCGTGAGTCGTGATCGTCCGCCAGCCTGTCGTGACTGTTCGCTGACTGCCAGCCTGTCATTCCCGTGCTTCTTCTTCCAATTCCTCCTTTTCGTGTCAGGTCGGGTTGACCCGAACCCGAAGCATTTCGGGTCCGAAAAACTTACCCTTTTTTAAAAATGGGTCGGGTTCGGGTTGGGTTGAATAGTGTTGGGTCAGTTCCAGGTTGGACCCGACCTCGACCGGTGACCCGATTTTGACAGCCCTTCTTGGATGCATGATTCTCTTTCCAAAGAGTGATTCTGCCAACCAATGTGAAATATTTATCCAAAAGCTGAGTTTAACTGGCAACCAAAAAAACATCTTTGGCATCATGCTGAGCATGATATTTGAGAACATGTTGAACTTCATTTTCTTAATGTTTTCTATGATGAGAAATTAGCTTCCTTCATTCAAATTCTGAATCATGCCAACCGTTATTATTCGAGAATATGTAAATGATATATTTCTTGTTTATCTGAGAATGTGAAACATAAAGAACTAATGTTGTTTTTCACCCCTTTTGTTTTAACTGAATTTCCTTAGCTAGTTTGAATGCCAAGAATGTTGTTATTAAAATATCTTTCTTAAACTCGCAGGAATTTGGCTACTCAAGCCAATATTTTTCGAGGCCATCAGGATGGTATCTCCAGCTTTTGTGTTTGGGGCCAAGATGTGATTTCTATTTCAAGAAATAATATTGCACTCACCTCTGTTTCCCGGCCAATGGAGGAAGTATGTTCTCTTATTCTTTTTAGCGTTATGGCCTGTTTGGGATCACTTTTATATTTTACTTGTGTTTTTATAAATATATGTTTATTTAGCATATTTTTAGTTTTTTTGTATTAAAATAATAAATCAAGATTTTTTAAAACACTCAATAAATTTTTTGAGGTATTTGAGTGTTTTTAAAAATACCTATCATTGTCGACAAGCTTGCCCAAGCTTGCGGGAGACCACCGCCCTCATCGCTTGCTACCGCTGGTGTCATATCGACCATCGTCACTACTACCGTCTAAATCAAAATACTTGATATTTAATAAAAATAATAACATAATTTTAATGTACTAAATATATTTTGTTTAAAGTGAAAAAAAAAACAAAATAAAATAAAATTAATTCTAGATTGTCTTCTAGACTTCGTTTGAAACGGCTTTTTCAACTGTTTTTTAAAGTAGTTTTATAGTTCAATGATTTTTTGAACATTAAATTTTTATACTTAAAAGGTGTTTTAAAGAGCAATAAAAAAGTTGTCCAAAATGAACCCTTAGCATACTAAAAGAACTACTTCTGCCTAAAGCTTAATCACTCCAATGCGATCATAAACTAACCATTTACACTTCAGAAATGCACTATGATGGAAGAAAAATGTTATCTTTATATCTTACTATTGTGTTCTTTAATACAGGCTTTGCAACAGAGAATTTCACCGCAGAAGCTTTACTCGGCTGATAGGGGAATAAGGAACCCTTCAGCTCTTTCTGCTATCAGTGTTCTTCCCTTCTCTCGTCTGTTTCTCGTTGGGACAGAAGATGGTTGTTTGAAGGTCTGTTGCTAAGTTACCTCTTGAAATTGTTCTCTTTGCTTTTTTACTATTCATAGCCCCTCTCATTTTAATTTTGTATATGCTTTACTTAATTTATGTGTAATATCAGTTGTTTATTTTCTCTTTTAAAACGTTTCTTAACGAGCTTTTTATTCACCTGCTCCTTATTGTCTCTCTAACTCTGACTCTGAGGCTTCGTTTGGAACGGACTTTTTAATGGTTTTTAAATCAGTTTTTTAGTATAAAAATTATATATTTTTACTAGAAAGCTACTTTAAATAGTAATAAAGTCATCGCAAACGAAGCCTGAGGTATCACAATAGCGACTTCTCATGGCTTAAGATTGCAGAACCCTACGAGCCTCAAAGCTTAATTATGATAATATATGTTTCGTTTAAGAGAACTTTTGTATTGCTTTCTAAAGCAATTTTTTAGTATAAAAATATTTAGTTTAATAAATTTTTGTACTAAAACATATTTGAATAAGTAGTAAGAAAGCTATTCCAATCAAAGCTAAAGCTTGAAAATACTAGTGTGAATTAACATATTGATTACTTGACCTCATTTTAGAGATTAATTTATGCTTAAAAAATCTTCATTACATAATCTTTTTGCGTCATATTTACGTTTCAAATTTTATGGTACTTAAATTGCACTTATTTTAATATGATCTAACAATTTGCATGATAAGATTGTTTTGAATCGGGCATTGATCAGAGATGCCTCCTAAACAAGAAACCTCTCCTCAAAGCAAATGCAGTTGGATGGACATGGAATAAGTGAGATATTTTAATTTTACCTTTATAACTTCATTTGTAACTATGATCTAATCTTTGAGTCAAATTCATAGCTCTAACCTAACCCTTGCATGGTCAAAGATAGCTTATTGCATTGTTAATGACTCAACCCACCCACTTGCTTGGCTTAAATTCAAAGTGTGTATTATGAGAAGCATTATTAATGGAATAAAATATATAGAATATTTAAGTTGAGATATTTATATTAAAATTTAATTAGTTAAATTTAGATTTAGTTAGTTGGAGCATGAATCTATTAGAAAAAAAAATAGCATTCTCATGTAAATCTTGCATCAATGGATATCTTAATAAATGTGGGAACATAATTATATCTTGGATGTAATGTATTTTTAAACTTATCATTCATATTACACTTATTTCATTTGATTATAAAATCTTTGGATATGGTGTTAGAGTTGTTGATTGAAATATTTCCTTAGGAGATTTCATTGCCTAGAACCATGTATAGTTTAAAAAATTTAATGAAGGCTTTTGATTTTGGGTATTTGAAGATTCATGCATGCCCTAATGATTGCATATTATTTTGGGGAGATAAGTTTGATCAAAAGAGTAATATTATATAATAAATGAAAACTCAAACAATGGCTGTTAAAATTATTCAATATTTTCCTTTGACTCTAAGACTTTAGAGATTATTTAAAATGCCAAATACCATACAAGAGATGATTTGGCATGCTATGCAACAAAATAAAGATGGTATGTTATGGCACACAATTGATAGAGAGCATAGAAATCATTTGAATCCTCAAATTCTAATTTTTCTTTAGAACCATGAAATTCTCGCCTTCATTTAGACTTTGATAGATTTAATCATTCTTAGATTCTGAGTAGAACATATAGCATTCAGGCTGTGCTTTTTATCCTATGTTATATACCCTTGTGAAGTGAAATGAAACAATCATCATTTATTATGTTACTGATTATTTCTCATGAAAAAAGTTTTGAAAATGATATTAATATTTATCTCAAACTTGTGATTCATGAACTTCAACAATTGCAATGTATAAAATGCTATGATGCAAGAAGTCGACAAAATTTATGTAGCATGCAACATTAATGTTGATTATTAATGACTTTCATGTATACAATATATTATTTGGGTGGAGAACTAAATGAATATTTGCTTGCTCATACTATGCATAAAATATAGAATCTCTTTGGTTGTGTAAGAGTAAAAAGTATTCTTTTATTGGCCATCAACATTGGCTTAAATCAATTCAATATTCTATAAAGCAAAAGCAGTTCTTTGATAATAGAGATGAACTCGGATCTATGCCCATTGAAAGTTTTTATGGCACACCAACAGAGGAGAGAGAATTGGTATTTTAAAATCTTTTTATATTTTCTAAAATATGTTGCTTTTAAAATCATAATAAGTTTAAAATATAATATCCATAAGTATTTGAGAAAATAAAGTATTCAAACTAAACTCCAAAGCAAATATGATTTAAAAAAAAAATTCAAAAAATAAATATTTTTTATTTCTTTTTGTTTAATTTTAAATCAAAAACTCAATCAAAGATTCACCCAAAATTGTTTAACAAAGATAATCAAAAGTCAATCTAAAGTGCAGTAATTTAAATTGTAAGAAAAGTAAACTGCAAAAAAGTAAGGAAATGCAAATAAGATTTATAGTGGTTCAATCCCAATGACCAACATTTACTCCTCAAATATCCTCCTCTTTAGGTATTGCATTAAACATGACTCTCTTTCAGCACATAGCTAGGCGGAGAAGCCCTTCTCTCTTAACTAGATGGAGAATGACCTTTATAAACTCTTCCAACCACAAAGAATCTCCCTCTTCTCGCTTCCTCAACCCAGTAGAGAAGGTGTTCCTCCTTTCACCTCAACCTAGTGAAGACGCATGTAATCCCTCCTTTCTCCTCCAAGCCGAACAAGGATGTGGTCTCTCCTTTATCACCTCACTCCAGCATATATGCTGATCTCTCCTTTCACTTCCTGGCCTAGTAGAGATGTCGATCCCTCACCTCCTCAATTAGTAAGATTCTTTCTCTCCAATGACTCTCCTTCCTAGAGCTTTTCTCCAATAGCTAAAAAAAAAACACAATCCCCAAAGGTCCTCCTCTTTTGGTACTGCACTAAAAATGACTATCTTTCAGCACATAACTAGGCAAAGAAGCCCTTCTCTCTTGACTAGACAGTAAATGACCTATATAGACTCTTCTGACCATAAAGAATCTCCCTCATCTCGCCTCCTTAGCCCAACAGAGAAGGTGTCCCTCCTTTCGCCTCCTTGGCCCAGCGAAGATGTTGATCCCTCCTTTCTCCTCCAAACCTGACGAAGATGTTCTTTCCTTTAGCTCCTTGCAAAAACAAAAATGCTGATCCATGTTGCAAATTTGATTTCATGGATTTGAATATTTATGATAACAAACATTCATGATTTTCTACGACTGCCTTGCCTACTAACTTTTCAGGTCCACAAGATCGAGTGCAACTCAAGCCAGCTCAAGATTGGGTAGATTAAGTTTGAGTTAGTTTGTAATTTTTTCTTTCTTGAGTATATTGTAAATAATGTGGCTCCTAATGCTAATTAACCTTGCACACACACACATGGGGAAAATTTTCTATCTGTTGGTTAGAGTTCTTTATTTTAATCACATCATCAGGGACGATCCAAACTCATCCTTGATGATATGTTAAAATAGAAATGCTAAATTAGGGCATCCTGGTTAACACAACCGTCATTAAGCTCATCATCCTGGATGATATTCATATCGGCCGAGTTGATAGGCTCAAATCAGAAAGAATCAACCGCTAGATCTATTTATGTATTCTTTATTTTTGGACATCATCCAGGACATCGGCCTGGACAATGCAACATAATTATGCTTAAATTAATATGATAATTAAGGAAAATAATTAAGGTTTGATTGCATGATCACATCGTCCGGGACGATCGTAGGATCATTTGAGATGATTGACATCGGCCAGCTTCTATTTAGAGCAATGTTCAAGATAATTTTCCTTGGATTTGAACTAATTGTCCAGGATGATCATAAGATCGGCCTGGATGATCTAGCTATTTTTCATCATCCAGACATCCTTTCAGAGTGATTGTCTGGACAATATTCAAGAAATTGTACTGATCATCTAGGATGATATTATATCGGCCTAGACAATAAGACCAGAAATCTTCTGATCGTCCCAAACCGATCAGGCCGATTGAGCAAAATTTATGCTGATCGGCCAAGATGATATCCATATCGTCCTGGATGATAAAATTAATTTTTATAAAATAAGAGCTATTCCGAAGCTCTTCTATTTAAGAGATCTTTTTCTACCATTTAGAACATCTTTTGTTGCTGCTTTGACCTGAGAGAGCCAAGAGGAGAGTGAGAGCAAGGGAGAGAGAGAGTATCTTATGAGGGGGAGTTTGTGAGGGAGTTCACAAAGGTTTCTCCAAGCAAGGATCCATCATCATCTTCTCCAATCATTGTCCTTAGTTCCTTTGGGGTTCTAGAGAGGTAAACTTCAACATTTGATCAAGGTTCTCTGCCTGCTTCAGGAGGAAGCAAAAGGAGTTGGGTTCTCTGCCTACTTTAGGAAGAAGCAAAAGGAATTTGATTCTCTACCTTCTTCAGGAGGAAGAAAATGAGTTGGGTTCTCTGCCTGCTTCTGCTTTTGGAGGAAGCAAAAGGAGTTAGATTCTCTGCCTCACCTGGGTTGGTGGAAAGGAGGTTTGTATAGGCTTCTCCACCTTACTGTGGGGGCAAAATAAGGGACACTAAGTTTAGTGCAATACTCAGAGGGCGCCTTCAAAGAGTGGACATAGGTCGTGTTGACCAAATAACTATAAATATATGTGTTCTTTTTTACTACTTATGTATTTTTTATTTTTTGCACTTTGATTTCGGCGGTGAATCTTGGTTTTCATTTTAAGATTGTGTTTTGATCAAAAGATTTTTTTAAAATACCAATTCACCTCCCTCTTAGTTATCCTTAGGACTAGTTCATAAGGGCTTAACATCCCTAACAAACTTTCTAATGCCATCATAGCATTTTCAAGTGGTATCAAAGCGGGATTCATAAAATTAAGTTTGAAAATTTTTTGAATTTCGATTCATGGCTAACTTTGGTAATCGTAACACAAAGGAAAGATATTCTATTACACGTCCACCTTTGTTTGATAACATTCCTTTTGATTTTTGGAAAACTCGCATGTCTATATTTTTACAATCGCTTGATTATCGTGTGTGGATGCTTGTTAAAGAAGGTTATACACCACCTTCTTGTGAACTTAATGGCATTAAAATTGAAATTCCTTTTACTGAATGAACTTTTAATGAAAGAGATTTAACACAACTTAATGCAAAATGATT